TCTCAACAGATGTTCAATTCTCTTGGACTGCAGCACATTTCGGACGATGCAGTGTCTGAGGAGCCAAACCATAACGATGTTGCTCTCCCCACCTCGGATCCTTTAACCAAAGACCGAGGTCGACGACCTGGAAAGGAGCCACTCCTTGAAGAGGACGAGTTGGACCCAAGAGCCCAGTTTAAAGAAAAAAGCCGAAGTGATCGAGCTAAGCCTGGAGAAGACGTACAATTGATCTATATCGATGAACCAGTCTTCCACAAATCATTGCGTATCGGAAGTCATCTTCAAGAACCTCTTCGGTCAGAACTCATCTCGTTTCTCAAACACAATTCTGATGTTTTCGCTTGGAAGCATAAAGATATGAAGGGTATCGACCCCGGTGTCGCTAGCCACAAATTGAACCTTGACCGGACCATCCGGCCTGTTGTGCAGAAAAGAAGGAAACTGGGGTCGGATCGTCAGAAAGCATTGGAAGAGGAAGTCAAAAAACTCATTGACAACAAATTCATCAAGGAAGCCAGATATCCGACGTGGGTCTCAAATCCTGTTCTTGTCAAAAAGAGCAATGGGCTATGGAGACTGTGTATCGATTTTTCCGACCTGAACAAGGCGTGTCCGAAGGACAACTATCTGCTTCCTCACATAGATTATATGGTCGATGCCACGTCGGGACATGAGTTGATGAGTTTCATGGATGCTTACTCTGGCTATAATCAGATTCCTATGGATCCTGAAGATTCCGAACACACCTCGTTATATTCGGCCCGAGGCTTGTACTGCTATACTATGATGCCATTCGGATTAAAAAACGCCGGGGCTACTTATCAACGCCTCGTCAACAAAATGTTCGCTACGTTGATCGGTCATACTATGGAAGTTTATGTTGACAACATGCTCGTCAAGTCGGTGCACGCTTGTGATCATATAACGCATCTTCAAGACATGTTTGCCATCCTCCGATCTTATTCCATGGTCTTAAATCCTAAGAAGTGTACTTTCGGAGTTGAATCTGGAAACTTTCTGGGCTATATGGTCAGCCAGCGCGGAATTGAAGCCAATCCGGCCAAAATAAAGGCCATTCAAGATTTAACTCCCCCGACCTCGGTTAAGGGTGTTCAGGCCCTAACTGGTCGACTTGCTGCGCTTAATCGGTTAATCTCCAAATCCACAGATCGTTGCAAACCTTTTTTCGAAGCAATCAAAAAAGGAAAACGTTTTGAATGGACCGAGGAATGCCAAAAAGCTCTCGTCAACATCAAGGAGACGCTAGCCTCTCCACCGACGTTACAAAAGCCGAAACCCGAGGAAATGTTGTTTCTCTACCTCGGAGTCAGTGATTCCGCCATTAGTGTTGTTTTGATACGTGAAGAGGGACTGTTACAATCGCCTATCTATTATGTCAGCAAAGCCTTGCATGATGCTGAGTTACGTTACCCTCCGATGGAAAAATTAACGTTTGCGCTTGTTGTTGCTGCTCGGAAATTGCGACCTTATTTTCAAGAACATTCCATAACTGTCCGCACTTCGTATACACTTCGGCAAATCCTGCACCGACCTGATACCTCGGGATGCATGATCGTATGGGCT